AAAATGTTTGTGTTTCATATGAACTTTGCTCAAGAAGTGGTTTACCAAAAACTTTTAGTATCACAGCCATGATTTAGCCTTTATTTTTAATTTATTTTTAACTGTATTGAATCATTTTGCAATATACAGTATCAAACCGCAAGAGCATTGTATCCAGAAATGTCTCGTATCATGGCCTATGTATCGAGAAATGTATCGTATCATGGCCTATGTATCGTAGAAATGTATCATATTGTGGCCTATGTATCGAGAAATGTATCGTATCATGGCCTATGTATCTAGAGAAATGTATCATATCATGGCCTATGTATCGAGAAATTTATCGTATCGTGGCCTATGTATCGAGAAATGTAATGTATTGTGGCCTATGTATCGACGTATGTATTATATCATGGCCTATGTATCAAGGTACGTATTGTATCATGGCTGTGTATCGAGGTATGTATTGTATCGTGGCCTATGTATCGAAAAATGTATCGTAACATGGCCTATGTATCAAGAAATGTATCGTATTGTGGCCTATGTATCGAGAAATGCATCATATCATAGCCTATGTATCGAGAAATGTAATGTATTGTGACCTATGTATTGACGTAAGTATTGTATCATGGCCTATGTATCGAGAAATGTATCGTATCGTGGCCTATGTATTGAAAAATGTCTCGTATCACGGCCTATGTATGAATTTATGTATCGTATCATGGCCTATGTATCGTATCATGTACTATGTATCGAGAAATTGATCGTATCATGGCCTATGTATCGGGAAATGTCTCGTATCATGGCCTGTTCTTAATGATACCCAACCCTATTCTTGATGGGTGTAAAATTTGATTTTTTACGACAGTATTAAATCAAAAATTTCAGGGGTGGACTCAAACTTCTCAAATATCAGTCACTCGAACAGAGACTCAGACCTGGGGACTTGACTCAGACCTGACTAAGACTCGTCCAAGTGCGTCGAAGAATTGTGAACTGACTAGCAAAATGATTCAAACAAAAAAAAAAAAAAAAAACCAAACCCAAAATCAATCATTTGATCAAATCTGAAAGAGCGTTTGAGTTGAGCTGCTTACATAAGCCCGAGCATTCAGGCCACGCCGAGCCGAGCACTAATTGGACCGAGTTGATCAGAGACAACAAAAGGCCGAGGGGACGGGGGCTGGGGGCCGGCCGGGCTTTGTTGTCCTGGGTCCGGGCGGTTCTAGTCCCCTCCACATTGGGCAAACTCCAGCCCCCGCCGAGAGCATGAACATGGATTAAACCAGGACCGAGCCAGGACTGAGCCAGGACTGAGCCGGGACTGAGCCAGGACTGAGCCAGGACTGAACCAGGTCTACGATGGGCCTTGTGGAGGAGGTGAGCGCGGAGGAGCTGGAGTGTAAAATCTGCTACAGTCAGTACGACCTGCAGAGTCGGAGGCCCAAGATGCTCGAGTGCTGCCACAGTCTGTGCTTCAAGTGTCTGTGCAAGGTAAGAACACCAGGACCAGACCAGGACTGGACCAGGACCAGACCAGGACAAGACCAGGACGAGACCAGGACCAGACCAGGACAAGACCAGGACTGGACCAGGACCAGACCAGGACCAGACCAGGACTGGAGAAGTACTGGAGCACGATAAGAACAGGACGAGACCAAGACTAAACCAGGACTGGACCAGGATAAGACCAGGACCAGACCAGGACAAGACCAGGACGAGACCAGGACCAGACCTGGACTGGACCAGGATAAGACCAGGACAAGACCAGGACCAGACCAGGACCAGACCAGGACTGGAACAGGACTAAACCAGGACTAGACCAGGACGAGACCAGGACGAGACCAGGGCTGGACCAGGATAAGACTAAGACTACACCAGGACTAGACCAGGACCAGGCCAGGACCAAACCAGGACGAGACCAGGATTGGACCAGGGCTGGACCAGGACTAGACCAGGACTAGACCGGGACTAGACCAGGACTAGACCAGTACAACACCAAGACTACACCAGGACTAGACCAAGACTAGACCAAGACTAGATCAGGACTACACCAGGATGAGACCAGGACTAGACCAGGGCTAAACCAGGATAAGACCAAGACTGCACCAGGACTAGACCAAGACTACTCCAGGACTAGATCAGGACGAGACCAGGACAAGAACAGGACGAGACCAGGATGAGACAGGGCTAAACCAGGACTACGTAGACCAGGACTAGAACAGGACTGGAGCAGGACTAGGCCAGGACTGGAGCAGGACAAGATCAGGACTGGAGAAGGACTAGGCCAGGTCTACACCAGGACTAAACCAGGACGACACCAGGACTAGACCAGGACGACACCAGGATGACTACACCAGGACTAGACCAGGACTGGAACAAGACTAGAACAGGACTAGACCAGGACTAGACCAGGACTGGAACAAGACTAGAACAGGACGAGACCAGGACTAGAACAGGACTAGACCAGGGCTAGACCAGGAATGAACCAGGAATGGACCAAGAGTAGACCAGGAATAGACCAGGACTAGACCAAGACTACACCAGAACTAGACCAGGACTAGAACAGTACTAGAACAGGACTAGACCAGGAGTAGACCAGGACCAGGACGAGACCAGGACTGGAACAAGACTACACCAGGATGAGACCAGGATGAGACCAGGACTACACCAGGACTACACCAGGACGAGACCAGGACTACACCAGGACTAGAACAGGACTAGACCAGGGCTAGACCAGGAATGAACCAGGAATGGACCAAGAGTAGACCAGGAATAGACAAGGACTAGACCAAGACTACACCAGGACTACACCAGAACTAGAACAGGACAGAACAGGACTAGACCAATACTACACCAGGACTAGACCAGGACTACACCAGGACTACACCAGAACTAGAACAGGACTAGAACAGGACTAGACCAATACTACACCAGGACTAGACCAGGACTACACCAGGACTACACCAGAACTAGACCAGAACTAGACCAGGACTAGACCAGGACTAGACCAGGAGTAGACCAGGACTAGACCAGGACTAGACCAGGGCTAGAACAGGACTAGACCAGGACTAGACCAGGAGTAGACCAGGACTAGACCAGGACTAGACCAGAACTACACCAGAACTAGAACAGGACTAGAACAGGACTAGAACAGGACTAGACCAGGAGTAGACCAGGGCTAGACCAGGACTAGACCAGGGCTAGACCAGGACTGGAACAAGACTCAATTATCATTAAACCAGAACCACGACAGAACAGAACTTATATAATTCTGACATAATGACATAATGTGGGACTCGTGTGAGTTTATTTATTTTTTAAAATTCAGTTCAACGTCGTTTTCCTTTTCGTTTCTTTTTGACGCCCGCTGGTCTTCAGATCACGTCTTTACACACAGAAACTTTGTATTTGTTGTGCCTGGACTTTCACGGCTCTTGTCTGAAAGTCTGAGGAGAAAACATGAATGGGAAACTGTGTGTGTGTGTGTGTGTGTGTGTGTGTGTGTGTGTACAGTAAACCCCCAGTTTTGCCAGCAGGGGGAGCTGTGAACTTTCAATAGGAAGCAATACTGAGTCAGTGAGCCCTCAAATTTAACATCCTCCTGGGACCCGAAGAAAAAAAGCGTATTGCAATATATATTTTTTGTCATTTTCTCTCTATTTGGAGGTAAATGAAGTAAGTAAGTAAGTCTTTATTTATATAGCGCTTTTCACAGACATTTTTTGTCCCCAAAGACGCTTTACAGATCATTATTCAGCATTATTCATTCACTCTATACCTGGTGATGGTAAACTACTATAGTAGCCACAGCTGCCCTGGGACAGACTGACAGAAGCGCGGCTGCCATGCCAATCGGCGCCATCGGTCCCTCCGACCACCACCACAACACACACACACACACACACACACTACTTTCATACCAGGCAATGTGGGTGAAGTGTCTTGCCTGAGGACACACCTGTGATTGAATTGATTGTGTTTAACTGACCTTGACTATCAAATGAGCACCTTAGCGTTTAAATTTTGTTCATTTTATTTGTATTTAAATTTGTATCTGTAATGGACGCCGGGGACAATTTTGGTGTTAAATCCATGTGACGTTAACCACCGAAGAAAAACAACTTTTTTGATGACAAGCTTCTACTGTCGCCTCAAAACGTTTTTAGACTCCCTTTTAATTTAAATAGTTTTTATTGGTTTTACTGATTTAATTTATTTATTGGTTTATTTATTTCTATTCTATGATTTTGTTTTTATTTTTTATTTTACTGGTTTTATTTTATTTTACTGGTTTTATTATTACCTCCGCCAAGGAGGTTATGTTTTTGCCGGCGTTTGTCTGTTTGTTTGTTTGTTTGTTTGTCTGTTAGCAACATAACTCAAAAAGTTATGGACCGATTTTGATGAAATTTTCAGGATTTGTTGGAAATGTGAAAAGGAAGAACTGATTTCATTTTGGGGGTGATCGGGAAGAAATCCTGGATTCTGGATCACTTTGAAATTTTAGTTAACATTGTGGTAAATGGGGCCAAAAATTTTGTTTCTCAATATCTCGGTTAATTATTGACCAAACCCCATGAAATTTGACTCAGGGATGGACAATGGGATCCTCTTTCATATTCCAAATTGAAAGATACGAGACAAATATTTATGGAAAACACAATTAATATGAGGGGGACTGTAGTCCTTGGCGGAGGTCTGCGCTCTCTGAGTGCTTTTCTAGTTTTAAGACTAGTATTATTTTAGTGGTTTATTTTATCATCTTATTGTTGTTATTTTTATGTACTTGTGCAGCACTTTGGAAACAGTTTGTTTGTGAAATGTGCTATAGAAATAAAGTGGATTGGATTGGATTTAATTTCTTTATTTAATTTCTTTTTTTTTTTTTTTTTTGAGTGCAGCCACAAACTAACATCTATTGAGTTCTTTTTTTATTTATTTATTTTTTTTTATCCTGAACATGATAGTACCCCAAACCTATTTAGGCAGAGGAACCTATTCCCCCTGTTAACAGTCTGTCTCAAAACACTTGAAAGATAAACTGGTTAACACAATGTCCACTACAAAGGACAGAAATGAATGGGCCAGGTCTCATTTATCATTACGTATTTTTTCAGATTCTCGTGTGATGTGATACTTCCAGATGGGGGCAAGAGCCGGTTTTCCTGTGTTTACATTGTACTTTCACAATAAATGTCTAAAAGGAAAATACACAAATGTTGAACGTGATGGTCTGATGATGCTGTGAGGTCTTCTGAAACCCAGCAGCTAATTAAAAAACTTCTTCTGACTCGTGTTTAGATGCTCGATGTGGGAGATGCTTTTCCCACAGAAGCCGTGTGTCCCTTCTGCCGCTACCCCACCACCCTGAGGGGCAACTGCGTGAGCGAACTGCCCGACAACTGCCACCTGCTGTCGGCTCTGAGCATGCACGGGCCAGCCAAGAAGAACCTGCAGGTAAATCCTACACAGAATCAAACCCACAGCCCAGAAGAACCTCCAGAAGAACCTGCAGGTAAGTCCTTCACAGAACTAAACCCACACCCCAGAAGAACCTGCAGGTAAGTCCTACACAGAACCAAACCCACAGCCCAGAAGAACCTCCAGAAGAACCTGTAGGTAAGTCCTACACAGAACCAAACCCACAGCCCAGAAGAACCTCCAGAAGAACCTGTAGGTAAGTCCTACACAGAACCAAACCCACAGCCCAGAAGAACCTCCAGAAGAACCTGCAGGTAAGTCCTACACAGAACTAAACCCACACCCCAGAAGAACTTGCAGGTAAGTCCTATGCAGAACCAAACCCACAGCTCAGAAGAACCTGCAGGTAAATCCTACACAGAATCAAACCCACAGCCCAGAAGAACCTCCAGAAGAACCTGCATGTAAGTCCTACACAGAACCAAACCCACAGCCCAGAAGAACCTCCAGAAGAACCTGCAGGTAAGTCCTACACAGAACCAAACCCACAGCCCAGAAGAACCTCCAGAAGAACCTGCAGGTAAGTCCTACACAGAACCAAACCCACAGCCCAGAAGAACCTCCAGAAGAACCTGTAGGTAAGTCCTACACAGAACCAAACCCACAGCCCAGAAGAACCTGCAGGTAAGTCCTACACAGAACCAAACCCACAGCCCAGAAGAACCTCCAGAAGAACCTGCAGGTAAATTCTACACAGAACCAAACCCACAGCCCAGAAGAACCTCCAGAAGAACCTGCAGGTAAGTCCTACACAGAACCAAACTCACACCCCAGAAGAACCTCCAGAAGAACCTGTAGGTAAGTCCTTCACAGAACTAAACCCACACCCCAGAAGAACTTGCAGGTAAGTCCTACACAGAACCAAACCCACAGCCCAGAAGAACCTCCAGAAGAACCTGTAGGTAAGTCCTTCACAGAACTAAACCCACACCCCAGAAGAACCTGCAGGTAAGTCCTACACAGAACCAAACCCACAGGAATTTGAGGCATAAAGAAAAAAAATATTGTTAGGCTTGTATAAACAACGTGAAGATGAAGCTCGGAGAAACATCTGAACCATGTCTTAGTTTTAAAGTTGGTTCCTCGTGTGTTTACAGGTGGCTACGGAGCTGCTCCTCAACCCCCGAGCCCTGTCCTCTCTGGTGGGCCACAGCTCTCCTCTGGCCCCCTCCCTGTCCTCCAGCTCGTCCAGCACCACCTTCTCGTCGCTGAGCAGTTCTCCCAGCTTCGTGCTCATCACCATCATGGAGCCCCGGCCTGGCCCGCGCCTCACCTCCAGCCTGGACTCCCTGGTGTCCCTGTCCCGCAGCTGGGGGGCGCTGTTGTGGCAGAGCTGGGCCCGTGTGCTGCTCTGGGCGCTGGGGTTGATCTACTTCAGCTCTCTGCCCGTGGGGGTCTACCTGCTCCTGCTGCATAGGCCCACCTTGGGAGTCCTGATGGTGAGCCTGGTGCCCGCCACCCTCGTCCTGGTCATGGCCTACGGTCTGTGCCAGTGTCTGTGGCACGAGCTCCGCCACTGCCTCAACCACAACTGA